AATTTTTCTCCTGACTGTAGGTGGTTAAAGGGACCAGAATTTTTGGCCGGAAGTTCGAAAGAATCTCTCATACCTCAGTTACTACGGAATGGTTGCCTATGAGTAATCGGCGAAACTTCATGGCCTATCTCTATTACATAAAGTGATAATAAATAAAACTCCTTCTTATCTCACTGAAAAAATCAGATACAGGACAGACGTTCTCAATTTGAATTTGAGGCATAAGAAAATAATCACAATTCTCCATCACCGCACTCAACAATTCGAAAAATCCATCTCTTACAATCTGAACCTACAGAAAAAACTTTTTGAGGAGCAATGTTTGATTATATAAGTTCATGTAATCACCTTAAATTTCAGTTAATATGTCTTTCCTAAATCCCCTCTATATTACCAATGATAATTATATAAATACTTATCTTTGTGTCTTTTCAAATCTTTATTCTTTAATCTTAGTGTTTGTTTTGTTTATTTTGTATCCCAGGTTCCCGATGGAGACCAGTCTTGATTGATCGGGCTCCTTTTTACCATACTATTACTTTGTTGTTAGATTTCATACACATATGGTTAATAAAGGTTACTATTACTATTATATAAACATTCCATTACACGAAAGGAAATTACTTTGAAAACAATAACTTTTATATGAATATTGAATTATACAAAAAACACTTTTTCTTTTTAGTTTGTACTCCTCAGTGGCGGAGGAGGACAGTAAAAGAGGGATTTTTCTTCCAGTTTGTATATGAGACACTGAGACTTACTTCTTTGCATGATCTACACAGTTCAGTTCGAAATTAATTGTATTCATCATTTTTTTGGAGATCCCCACATTGTTCTTGTACAAAACTGAAGAAGTAGAAAGCCAAAACCTTTCTTTTCAAAAATTATTTTTCTCTGAAAACATACTCCTTTCCATTCCTTTTTTTGTTATCAGGTGGCTTGTCAGTAGCTGTACCAGGAGAACTTATTGGCTACTGGCGGGCATATGCAGCCTTTGGTGGTGGTGTCAGTTGGTCACAGCTTCCACAAGATGCGATAAAGAAATCAAAAAATGGTATATATATGAACCCGTTTACGGCAAAGATGGTGGAACGATCCAAAGAATTCGTGTTCACAGACCCTGGACTGAGGTAGATTGTTTTTATTATGCAGTTATGAAGTACGCTGAAAAGTTCGTAGTGTAACACACAGATGACGCTACTAGTATCAACTCCATATGATTTTCAGTTAACCCTAATCTTCTGAAGACAAGTGTACAAATTTCACAGCTGTCGGACTATTAGTTGGTGGAATAGAACATTTCGAGTGAAGCAACTTTCGTTGGTTTGAAGAGAATGGATAAAAAAGAATTCCTTGTGTGAAATCTCATCTCTTTAAGGATTGAGCGTGGTTGTGACGTTTGGCTATTTCCGCAATTGTCGAAGTCATCAGGCCGTAGGTGCCAATGGATCCTGAAATTCCTAATCCAGCCGCTTCTTGGCTAAAGAGTCGGCAATGCGATTACCTTTACTCCTGTCGTGCCCTTTAATCCACCTCAGTATAATTTTATTATCTACCGAGGCTCTGAGTGAATTATATGTTGCCCTTTAACTTTGTTAATAATGTGCCAAAGGTTTCTATCCAAAAGAATATTCTATAAAATGAGAATTTGTCATCGATTTATTATTTATTGTGATAGTCATGAGGTTTCAAACATTGCTGAAATTTTGGCCGGCCCTCAAAGTAGGGGGCTTCCATTAAGCACTTTCTATCTTCGAATTTTAATAGAACAAAGTATTTCTGAGATAACATAGTTCGTTTGAGATAACTATTGTTGCCATTATGTGTGGAATATAACATCAAATGTCTGCCACGGCTTCTTTCAACTAATAAACTGCAATAAGCATGATCTGCTATTAGTGATATTACAGGAAAATAAAAAAAAGACATGTGGGAATATCACTTAGTCCTGATGAAATCAATGAGTATTATTGTTCGATTCCAAAAGCCTTAGTAAGAATATAGTAGTACCTTACGATCCCTTATTAAGTCTTGAAGATGTCAGAATTGAGGATAACCTAACATTGTACGATACAAGTATTAGTGAATTAACAGAAATTCTTGGGAATATAAAGAATAAAAATGCAACTGGTTATGATGGAATCTCCATAAAAATTATTCAAAATCTTCCAATTGTGGCTCTGCAAACATTGGTACCTCTTATCAACACCTCTTTCCATAATTGATTTTTTTCTGATTTTCTGAAAACATACGTTGTCCTTTCATACGTTGTCATTCATTTTATTCGAGTCATCCAAAAACTTGTGATAATACGTCTGACGATTTTTGTACAACACCATGATATTTTAAGTGAAAGCCAGTTTAGTTTTCAAAACAATAAAAATACGCACGATGCCATCTTTTCATTTCTTTATGATATTTATTGAAAGTTTAATTCTGGTAATGCAGCAGCTGCGTTTTTTTGTGATATTTCTAAAGCGTTTGACTGCGTTGATCATGGAATCTTGCTGAGAAAAATTCACCAATATGACAGCAGAGAAATAACGCTCAAATGGTTTGAATCTTACCTTTCAGGAAGAAATCAAATGGTAAGAACAGGAGGAATTTCAGAAAAAAAGGAAATTTTGTGTGTTGTTCCACATGGATCAGCTTTTGTGCCCATCTTATTCTTATTATATGTCAATGACATTGCAAATTTGAGCATTTCTGGAAATGTCACTCTTTTCGCTAATGACACGACGATATTGTGGAAGAAAAATAACTGAAATTATTTACAAAATGCGATATCTAATGATATGACAAAATCAAGGAGTGGTGTGATGCCATTTTGCCATCCTTCACTATCACCAAAACAAACATTCAGATGTGCTCTTGATATGTTTTGGTTATGCAGAATGAGGCGTTTTTCAGAAATTTACATTTTTCAAAAGAAGAGTCGTAGGTACAGTCTTGTCGAAAAAATGTTTTTAATTTTTCTGGGTATGAGCTTTTAATCTTTTTCATAATTTTTTCTCATCAATGTATGTAAAACAAGAAATTTCAGAGCAAGTAAACGTCAAAAAAATTCAATGAAAATATTAACGTCAATTCCGTTCACTATTTTTTGGTCTATTGAATATCCAAGAGCTTGTGAAAGAAATAACAAAAAGTTTCGTTCATATTTCAGCTTCGGTAGATCAGCGATATCAATACTATTAGTACCAGTTTTATCACTATGTACGGAGGTATCCTGTTTCAAAAACAATTTCGAACCAGACTTCCACACAGGACAAATTCCCAAAGGAGTTGTATCAACAAACGGGATAGGATGTGCTGAAGCTGGAATGTAAGTAAATAAAGTTTTAGTAGTCATTTCCAAAGCAAGAAAGAAGGAAGGATCAATTCAGAACATGTAATATACTAGGTGTATTATACGAGGTTGCTTATTCGTGAATTTTCAGCCAAAAACAATAGTGTAACAATGATGCAGTCTCCATGCTCACCAGACATGGATCTGTATGATTTTGTTTCTACTCTCTCAACTTGGAGAGCTGTCGTTTCGCAAGCGTAGATGTCATTGAGAGCGCATCGCTAAAAAAGGCTTGAAACTATCCCAAAGATTGAATTTTAGAAGTGTTTTGAGCATTGTTAGAAGCGTCAACACAAGTACATAATACGAAGACGACAACATTAATGCCGATAAATTTTTTAATGAATATTTATCACAAAAATGAATATTTCTGTTAGTTTGTGAAAATATCTCATATAACATGCATTCAAAATATCGCACTGGTTTTTGAAAAATTTTTGATTCACATACTTTTTTCCACTCATCACAAATCAAAAAAATTAAATTTGAAAGGTAGATTCTTTTATCAATAAATACAACTCATCTATTTGGCCTTCTTTCAAATCAGACATTACACAATCCTCAAGCTTGGAAGCAACTGTAAGAGACATACACTGAATGATTAAAAAAAAGTACCGTTTTTATTTTTCCTCTGATCATTGTAACTTGACAACATTGTATTCTGTTCGTGTTTTGATTGTGCGACACTATCTCGAGAGGCGATGTCAGGCGACCCGGCAATATGGCATCTGACTTCGAGACTCGCACTGTTTGTACCAAAACACTAGACCACTTATTTCCTAGCCGTACCTCGTACAGTGTAATATAAAAATGAAATTTTGGACAAATCGCATTGCCGCATCATGAAACAGATTCTGTAGTTCAAGAAGTACCAGTATAGCATAGCGTTCTAATGTTTTTTTTTTTTCAGAGATATTATGAAAAAAGGTGGAACCGCTGTGGATGCAGCAATAGCCACCCTATTCTGTGAAGGAGTGTCTATGCCAAGCACTATGGGCTTGGGTGGAGGATTTTTTATGACAATTTACAAAAAATCATTGAACCGAGTATACTGTTTGGATTCTCGAGAAGTCGCTCCTGCTGCCGCTACACAAAATATGTTTTCCGGGCGACCAGAACTAGCCCAAACTGGTAAATATAGCGACTTGCGCTTGCTTCGGACAGGGGTAATTTAAAGTAAAATTTTGGATAGGCTGCATCCTCAGATTATGAAAAAAAGTTCAAGTTCACTTACGTATTTTGACGTATAGATTACGAACCGGGAAAAAACTGGTGCTCTTCCTCATTTTCAGTGTTCAGCCCTCCAAATCTACAAAAATAGCAATATTTCAACCTTTTGTCCACAATAGGAATTGCGAGTTTATAAAAACACAAATATTCATCTATGACATCACCTTTACATCCCATTCAACCTTCTTCTACACTCTTCAGTTCAATTATCCTGAAAGGGACCAGAATGAACAATGACATTCGATACTATAGTGATGTTTTGGGAAAAAGCGGTTAGTAACAGTAACCAACTACTATTTGAATTTCGTCTGATTTGATTGTTCAATTTTACGTGAACGATTTATGAAAATCTCAACATGAATTCAAATATCAAAGTGAGGGAAGATTCCTGCATCATTTACAAAATTGATTACGAAATTAAGCTTTCGAGAATATTCTGCAAAAGAATTGAAAAAACAATTGTATCTAGTGGTTCAACAGCTTCTGTTCAGTATTTATATTCATTATTATTTGTTTACTCTCTCATTTACCCTGTATATAATTATATTTAGTTTGATGTTCAGTTGTTGTAACTAAAACAAAGAGAATAAAAAAAACTTTTCAGACTGACATTGAATTTCAATATTTCGTTCTTCGAGACCGGATTTAACTCAGATATTCCAGGTAAAATACAACATTAATTGGTCCTTCGAGCCGGATTTGAACCAGCGACCTATGGATTCTACAATGCGGAGAATAGGTGACACGTTTGAAACAGGACTGCTATTATTAAAATTCAATTGGGTATTTTAAACTTTTATTTCATTACTCTCTGTCAATACTCAAAAGGTTTCTGAGTTCCACAACACCAAAAACTTCAGTGGCCCTCCGTGGCAATTGACCATCAAAAAAATAAAAGGTAACGTAGTAATAATAATAAAATCGTTTTATGTAGTTTGAACCCATGACCCAATGCCGCCAGACGAAGAACTGCGGTTAGCTTGTGCAGTTGTATGAAAAAAAATTATACGCTACAACCTTGCAGTTCAAACCACCGATTCGCACAGCGGTCGATTGACTGAGTGAAACTGTGACAACCTACGTCAACCCGCCACGCTACCGTCCTAGAGTCAAGAGAGAAATCAGGTTTCACCCATATCCATAATGCATTTGAAAATTCCGTGCCAGTGATAGAAATAAAAGTCAGTATGAACAACTTTTATCTGGAAGATTCAAGGGTATTGTTTTCATATCAACTCCATCCCCTAATTCCCAGGGCTTCCGTCGAATTGAAACCGACCTTTTCCACTCTCCCTTTCCTTGTTTGGATAGGGAACGAAATGATGGATTCAATTTATATCAGAATCCAATTAAACTGTTCTCAAAGCGTATGCTTAATCTGGGGGTGGAGGATTATGAGTATAATATTTTGCGGANAATACAAATAGCAAAAAACCCATAGGAAATGAGATATTTCCAAAAAAAGCGCAAAAAACCGATTTTTGTGACCTTTGACCTTGAAATTTAATAGTTGCTTACACCCTACCATATGTATGTTTTGAGACAACTTTAAGGGTGTCAATATACAAGTATTCACAGGCTTACAGCTGTGTATTTCGAATTCCGAGATTCTTACCTAATTTAAGCTTAAATGACTGGATTAAGAATAAACTCTATTGAATAGTTTTTTAAGTCTGTTCTTATTTGCTTTCGCGCAACCAGAACGATAATTTTTTGGATCGGATCGTCATATGAGTAGAAAAGTGGTTTATGTACGACAACAGGATACCTCCAAAAAGCGGAAATCCACCAAGAAAGAGCCATTGTTACTGTATGTTGCTCAGCGACAGGTGTGATTGACTTTCTACACTATAACTTTCTGCGAAACCACAGTGAGAAAATCGACAAAATTACCAAAAATTGAATCCCGATCACGGAATTTTCATGCTGACGAAATCAGACGACTTGTGTTACATTAGCAAATGCGAACTGATACAAATGGGGATCCTTTTGATTGAATTGAACAGGTATTCACTATATTACAGTCCACAGTAGACTCACACAAACGGGCAAAACTGTTGAAACAGTATGATATGTTATATCTATTAATTATCTATCAATGNAAACTGTTGAAACAGTATGATATGTTATATCTATTAATTATCTATCAATGCCAAATAAGGCCTTATAATACTGCAGAATTGCTTTCATTTCTGCCTAGAAAACAGATTCGTATGTCAATCTGGTAGCTATGAAGTGGAAACTTTTCGGTGCCGTTGGAAAATTATCAAAAGGTAATTTTCTGGAGGTATAGTACTTCAATATCCTTTGAGATCTCTGTTGGGATCCAGCCGAAAAACGATGTTGATGATAATTCAAAAAACATAATGCCTATCGGTGGTTTCATAGTGAATTCATTAATCTATCAACCTGTGAGAGAAATTCTGTATTTTTTTTATAAATGAGGTACTCTTGGACTACATATTGTGAATAATATACTGCTAGTTATAGCAGTTTATCTGTTGCATTCAATGCATGAATAATTTCCATCAACAAGCTCATTTTTCGAAATTGTTTTTGTTTTTTCAAAGTCAGTGCCCTGCTTTTGTTCTGATTCGCTGAACATCGTCATGAAATTTACATATTTCGGCATTTCCAAATATCTTCGTAGTTCAATGAACAATTATTTTCGCTATAAAAGTCTGGAAAAGCATTCATATGTGCATTTTTTCAGGTACTGCAAGTGAGTGGTAGCCAGTGGAACTCCAATCAACATGTTATTCACTCTCAGGTGAGTAAAAATTCTGTGAAAATGCCAGAGGTGCCATTTGACATGAATAAAGTTTTCAAAATAGATATCAACACAAGTCATTAATTCAAATTCATTGCATCTATATCGTATTAACAATAAATAGATCGAATTAGTCCAATTTCACAAATTGTATTGTGTCTGATGACTGTGTACAATTAAAATGACAAACATAAATAACGGCCAAAAAAAAGACTACATTCTTGAATGTTATGAAACATCAAGTTGAAAACCGAATTTGAATCAATTATTTCAGCGATGCATACTTCACCGCATGTGAGAAATCACAAGATCACCACAAAGTGAAAATCTGTCAAAGACTGACCACAAAAAAGTTCAAATTCACGGAGGGAGTTGAAGCATCCTTCGGCCAGTACTTTCTTTAATTTGCGTTTGAAGATATCTGAACATCTGCTCTCTCTCAATTCGAGGGGGAGAATGTTGAATAGACGTGTTACAGTATCCACTGGAGCTTTTTTTGCATGTAGTGACATATTTTCTTCGGTAAAATATTTCTTTTGTTTCTGGTGTCAAATCTGTTTAGGTTCTTAAAAATGTTAGTCAACAGTTTCAATATATAAATAGAGGGCACCGTGAGAATTTCATTACTTTTGAAAGTGTCTCTGCATGATGTTCTGTAAGATAAGCAGAAAATACGTCTACTGATATGTTTTTGCAACACAAACACACTTTGTAGTTCGGAGGCACAATAGTGCATAGTTCACTTCAATCAGACATTTTCGTTACAACATATTTTGGAGTGTAGTGACCACCTGGAATTATTTATTCAGCTTGCCACAAACTACATCGACATGTAAGTTCCATGATATGTTGCAGTCGAATTGTATTCCTAAGAACTCACCATTAGGGATGGCTCAATAGACACTCCTTCAAATAAAAGCGGTGGATGCACAGGTCTTCGATGATCGCTATAAAACTCTATACAGCGTGACTCACGGTCGATGGTAGGTTAGACGTTTCTGGAAAACGCAAAGCATGATTTTTCTGAAAATTTCACCTCTCACATTTTCTTACCTGTTCTATCGATCTGAAATATTTTCAGCATTGCGGCGTTGCCACTTCCATCAAAAAGTCCTAGCAACTTTATTTTTTT